TCAAATGCATTCACAGAAGGCTTTGTGACAGAAGAATATAAGACACAGAAGCAGGTTCTCAGCAGTTTCCCGGTTTCTGGTACAGCTGGGGAGTGGTTTCCCTGGGTGTCCACCATCAGTGGCACACGTGTCCAGCAGTGACAGGCATACAGACTTCATCACACTCAGCTGCGATTTGTTTTGGTGTCGCTTCTGCATTGTAGCCTCCAACGCTGTTTGAAGATTCAGTACACAAAATAATATCCTTCAATAAATACCTCTTCTCCTTGTGCAGCTTAAGATTCTTTTATTTGCCACTCAGAAGCAGGGATTCCCTGAACAAGATACCCACCACTTTTCTCTCCATAGAAATGGATACATTGAATTCCCAGTGCTTGAATGCTATTGGATGGTTAACTAAATCCCCTTGATCACTGAGCAGCCTCCTGATTATTATTTGCGTCTACAGGGAGCTAAAGCATGGAAAATGCTGATGTACATGTTCTAAGCATCGATGTGGTTTTACTTCTCATCTCTAATTCATCAATATTAACTCTGATTTGTGTATTTTTGTGTGTGTGTGTGTGTGTGTGTGTGTGCAAAGTTTGCTTTTAGTAATTAGTCCTAAGAGACGAGCTTACCCTCTGTGTAATGACAAGGTAATATCGCTCAATTCAAGAGCTGGGTTTGGGTCAGAAACTGGTCCTCAGCATAGTTTTTTAGTTAGTTGGTGAACTTGATACTGAGCGGCACCGGGTCCAATTCTTGGTGACATCTTCATATTCCCTTGTTTTCCTTTCAGTATTTACAATGATGACTATTGCTTTTAAAATAATTACTTACATGGCTCGTTTTGTACATGCTGAATCCTATATACTTGCAAAATGCTAGGGCAGCTCACTGGTACCAGAACATTATTCTGTATAATATTTTCAGATTTCAATTTAATCCCTCTTCATAGGCTAATCCATCCTAAATGACAAATGAAATGAAGGTAAGGATAGGTTTATAGCTTCAGAGTAAGGAAAGAAGAGCAATGGAAAGAAACAAGTAGGATGTGGGCATTGACTAAATCATCTCTTTCAGAGATTAGGAAAGAACTGCACCCAACTGATATTCTTCTTTACAGAAATGATTCCCGTTTAATATTAAATAAATCCTACGGAGTGTTATGGGACTCTTTGTACCTGAGTTACTTTCTTTCATTTGATCAATGCATCATTATTCCTTTCACAGTCTTCCAAATAATTGAATCAGCTTAAGAAACTGCCTTGGTGACCACATAAATAAGAAGCTGTTTCTTGAGAAATAATGATTTAGATCTGACGATTTTAAGTGTAAGCCCATCTCAAAAGGTTCTTCTATGAAAAGCATAAGGAGCAAGCATTCAAGTGTACTTCAGGGAATTAACAATAAAATTGAAAGTGGTTTTAGAGAAAAAAGAAAGCGCCAGACTCTAGGAAAAGCCCAGAGTCATGTACAAAGAATTCAAACTGACTCTAGCTGTTAGAGCAGTGGTTCTCAACCTGTGGGTGGTGACCCCTTTGGGGGTCGAGTGACCCTTTCACAGGGATTGCCTAATACATCCTGCCTATCAGCTATTTACATTATGATTCATAATGGCAGTTATGAAGTAGCAATGAAAATAATTGTATGGTTGGGGCTCACCACAACATGAGGAACTGTATTAAAGGGTCGTGGCCTTAGGAAGGTTGAGAACCCCTGTGGTAGAGAATAGTTTATGGTAAAGATTTCTTTTAAATTTACTGCCACTGAGTCAATTCCACCTTTCACGGACCCAATTGGGACAGAATAGGGCTGCTCCTTGCCGTTTCTGAGACTGTACATCGCTATGGGGCCAGACAGTCTTATCTTGCTCCTGCTGGGTCACTAGTGGGTTTGAACACTCAACCTTGTGGTTAGAGATTCAACTCTCTCTTTTTCATTTTCATTGTTTAAGCAACAGAGTTTGGATTATGTTTATTAAGAAAAAATAGTTTTACTGGCATATAATTCACAAATCAGACAATTCAATAGTTCAGTAACATTAAGAAATGTGTGCAGTCATCACCATAATCAATTTTAGGACATTGTCTTCTTTTCTTGAACTCATTGTTTTGTTAGCTCCTCGTTTCTCTCCAAACTCCTCTGCCATGCCTTTAGATAATTATTAATCCAGTTACTCTATAGATTTACCTAACCTGGATTTCATATACAGAAAATCACATGAACAACAAGAAGCAAACAAACAAAACATCCACAACAAATGTCAAAATAACAGAATAAAAAGTCGATAGAAAAGGAAGCAGAAAATATTAAAAATTGAAACAACTTTTAAATGGGTCAAAATGGAGGTTGAATGATAAGGTGTTACATTTTGAACTAATTTGCTAATTTAACAATCTGCTACAATCAACTTTATGATTCTCTCTGCCTGAAAGCAAGGCTACTCACATCCTTGCATTATGCTCAGAGAGGATTCATTAGAGGATTAATCAAGGTGGGAACCCTGCAAGTAGATTTGGGGCTTCTACTGTTATCTTTTGTTAAGTGCCATCCACTCAGTTCTAGTCCATAGTGACTGCGTTAGGCCGGGTTGACCAGAGAAACAAATCCAAAGACACTCATCTATGCACAAGAAAGAGCTTTATATCAAGGAGTAATTGTATATCAAGAAAACATCCCAGCCCAGTCCAGATCAAGTCCCTAAGTCTGATACTAGTCCATATGTCCCTCTTCAAATTCACACAGCTACACGCAATGATGCAGAAAGCACGAAGATCAAAGGCCATTGGGTGCAAAGTTGTGTGGATCCAATGGTGGTGGCTGCATCACAGGTTTTGCAGCAACCAGGATCAGCCTGCAGAAAGGTGAAGGTGGTGAGAGAGAGGAGGAGGTTCCCAGGACCCTCCTTATGAGAAGGCCACTGCCACAAGGAGTCACCATCAGGCAGTGATCTAAATGACAGGCTAGACCCCTCCTCCCACCCAACATTTTATACATCTTCAAGTTGACACGAAATTACATAACGACCAGAGAGACCACATGCACAATAGAAGGACACACTACCTGGTCTCCCACCTTCCTCACAATCTTCCCTATGGTTGAGCCCATTGTTTCAGACACTTGTCAATCCATCCCCTTGAAGACTTGCCTTTTTCTTGTTGCTCCTGAGTGTTCAGAATTTAAGCTCTGACATTGTTTCCTCCTCGGAATTTTGATTTTATTATTTGCAATTCTTGGATCACACAGACTGGTGCGCTTCTTCCCCATGAACTCAGTTGATGCTCCATTTTGCTGGCTGCTTTTTTAAAATTTTAAGACAAGCCTTTAACATCCTAGACACTATTCTTTCTGATAGCTGGGCACCATCTGATTTCTTCGCTGCACTTTGCTATAGCAAAAGTGCTTATCCCATATCTTCATGAACACCACAAGTATCAAATCAGGTCATTGTCATAAGCACCAGTTGTTCTTAGATTAGAACTGTGATTCAGTGTGAACCCAAAGTTCATTTATATGTCTGTGGTTTGCATATATATACGGTTCACTTTAGAGACATCATTACCATTTTGTAATAGAGAACATTATAAATCATTCCCATGGGGCATGTTGTCCCTACAGAAAGACATCGTGCTTGGTCAAGTGGGGGGAGGGGGGTAGGGAAAAGAGGAAGGCCGTTAAGGAGATGGATTGACACAGTGCCTGCAACTATGGGATCAAGCATATGAACAATTATGAGCATGGGGTAGGACCCGGAAGAGTTTTGTTCTGTTGTATATTGGGTCACTATGGGTCATAACCAACTTGATGGCACCTAGTGACAGCAATAACATGAGGCATGATATAATTCTGTTGATAGAACCATTAATTTAGCCAACCATATAGAATTTAAAACTCTGTTGAGGAAAGGAAATTATACATGCATAGGCTGGCTTTTTAGACAGCAATACATGAAGTGTTGACTTGTACAGATTTAAAGTTCAAAAATGAAGATTAGCGAAAGGGCAAAGCTTTCGATAGCACTCATTAACAAAGGCAGATTCATGCCTGCCAAACTCACACATGTCATAAAAACCAAAGAAAGCCCGGCTATCAAAAGATATAGTGTCTGGGGTCTTAAAGGCTTGAAGGTTAACAAGCAGCCATCTAGCTCAGAAGCAAAAAAGCCCACATGGAAGAAGCACACTGGCCTGTGCAATCACAAGGTCTTGAAGGGATCAGGTAT